TAATAAAAATAAGTCCTATACAGAAATACCAGTGAGGGTCATGGCACAATTCAATACCATTCCCATGTCAAAAAGCAACTGTGAAGAATTTGTCTCTGTATTTTTGTCAGCTGCAGTGGGCATTCTTGTTTACTATCCACACACACACTTACGTAATGGACTTAAAAAGGCTACACTGGAGCTGAAATGCTAAATGCAGAAACTGAATAATGAAAAAAAATGGAAACAAAGATTATTTGCTGCAAAAGTCAGTGTCTTTCTCAAGAACATTCAAAGACAAAATCTACCAGGAGATAGTAAGTAGCAAATCCTGATCAGCTAAAATAATCAGCATTTCACCAAAGGGAAACCAACAAACATTTCCGGGTATTTTTAATTTTCTAGTGAAATAACACGTGTGTTTTATTTTCAGTTTGTTCCAGTGGAGCTGAGGAGAGAGAGATAAATGAAAGATGAGAGCCATAATCCATGAGAGCACTCTCAGACTTCCATAGATACTGAAATTTAACATTGACAGATATGACAGGAACTCATCTCAGAGTCTAAGCTCTGCTTTAGAATCAGGGACAGCACTAAAAAGAATAGGGATAAAGAACTCCTATCAGCCTCAGCTGGTAAGAGAGGCAAGGTGTAAAAATAGCCTGCAAGCATTGTAAACCAAGAAGTAAAAACCTCTGTAGCCGCCTTCTTGCCATTTTATTCTTTACTTTGTTGCTGTTACAGCAGGGTGTTTAAGTTTAGTATTAACTACTACAAAATCCCCACAATGATTTGTAAGGTTGTAGAGACCTAAAATATCCACTATGCTATATACAGATGGGGCACAAGTTCTTGACCTGGCTGGCACGTGTTCTGAATAACTCCAACTTGCCCCTCTACAACCACGTCTGGAGAACAAGATAGCATGGAACGTACATTGCCCTCCACCACTTGTACCAGCCTTAGCACTGAAACATTTAAAGTCACTAGAATAAAACACAGGCAAGCCTCAGAGAGAGGAACACAGACATGCAAGCTGATAATAAAACCAACAGTACTTCAGCAGTGCCCAAGAGTCTCAGAGCTCCTCTGTGCACATATAGTCAGATCCTTCTTACTTTGCTGCTTTACTGATGGAAACAACATGCAAAGTTCTGTTACCCACCTCTGACACCATTACACCAGCTAATTGCTCCTTTGTTTTAAAAAAGCCACTCTACAGGATCCAAGATTTTGGATCCTAAATACTGGAATCACAGTTATGTGCATGGTAACACTATGGTGCTCTTGTGTTAGTAGTCACAGAGGGTTCAGAGATAGTCAAATCATCGAGGGACATCTTGGACAAGGGAAGGAGTGGTTAGGCCTGGCCCAGTGCTGCTCAGCTTCATCAAGGCAATGATGACTATGTTATCATATAATGAACTCAGGACTGTGCACACACTCTATCACTGGGCCTTCAGGACTATTAAGAACAGGGTAAAACCCCACACAAACAGGCAATGCATGTAACAGCTATGTGTTCAATACTCTTTATGTAGGAAGCTGCTCTTCTGTTGCCATAGCATACACTTTCATGTCATTCCCCAAGCAAATCAACAATTCCAAATAGCCATCCCAATCTTAAAATTGTTTTCTTCAATAAAAAATGGAACAAATGAGAGAATGCACAGAAGATTCAATGCTTCATTTTATAAATACTAAGAAATAGTCTGTAGACTGATAACACTGATCTAGAGATGGTATCTCCAACACTTTAGGGCACCCTGAAACAGATGACTGTAGGTCCTAATTAGTATTTTCAGTGTGTATATATATAGTTATATATACACACAAAATTATTTTTGTTTATATATATACACACGTAAAACAACTTAGCTGAAATCAGAGTTTTTTCACATACTTGTGCCGAAGAGATTCCTTTTATAATTCTGTTGCATTTCAACAATATATTCACTACAGAGCAGTTTCATAATTAAAAGCCTTTAATTAAAGAAGATTAATTAAACATGAGATAAGCACAAATACCAAACAAACTGCTTCAGAGAAAATCCAGAGTTTGACCTACCAAAATAACTTCATATGCAATTACACATGCTGTGAATTACTGTTTGTAGATAATTGCTTTGGCTATCTCCTTAAAGTCAACCGACCACGTATTAAATAACATCAAACCAAAAAAAGAACTCAGGGCTGACTGGACTTGCAGTTAAATGCATTCATTTTTTATATATCTTAGCATTAACACATTACTGGTTCAAAATAATTCACCAGTGGACCTTACTCATAAAGAACACTTACAGCACATCTCTGAAGGTAGCTTTCAACCCTCAAAATAAAAGATACTATCTTATCTAGAGATTTCTCCATAATTTACTTAATTTCCTTCAAGTTACTTCTCAGAGAATAATCTCAATCCTACAAATATAACTATCCTTATGTATTGCTGACTCTCAGATACATTTTCTGGAGTATTTTTAACATCTTCTTGCTGTATGTTACAGAAGTAAAATGACTCATTTTTTTGTAGGAATGCTGCTTAACTGAATGAACAAAGAAAAGGCAACGCTCAGGTCCTACACATAGTAATGGAAAATTTTAATTGCTTTGGAGATCTCTGGCATTATTCTCCCTAACGGACAGGGTCAGACTAGCTTTGTACCCAACTACATGTGCTATACTCCACAATCACAGAATCATAGAATAGTTAGGGTTGGAAAGGACCTTAAGATCACCTAGTTCCAACCCCCCTGCCATGAGCAGAGACACCACACACTAAACTCTGTCAAAGAATGAAGTGAAGCAATATGAAAGAGGGGTATATTGGCCATATTTCAAGAGATATCTATAGTCATTTAAAAAATGCACAATTTCACAGCTGTAATTGGGAACTGCAAATGCACCTGAGGAAAGGGCCACACAATTCAGAAAGCTTCCACAAAGGGAGCAGAAGCCCTAAAACGGTCAGAAAATTAAAAACTTCATTAACTTTTAATTGATCTCTTAAATACAAGTGTGAAGTTTTTATTTAAGAATTCTGGTTCTCTGCACCCTTAGATTTCAGCTGTACCAAGGCTGTCAAACAGTTGCCCACAAAAACCACAACAAAACAAATGAAACACCTCAACCAAGCTTCCCAATTCCCCCAAACAACAACAAAAAACAACAAACCAAACTCTTACTATTTCAAAGAAAATTTATTATTTTTGGATGCTGCCTATTTTCAGGTCTTTGAAAGTTCCCTTCTTAGGCTACATTAATGGGTTGATCTGCATACAGCATAGAGATTTCCTAGACTGTTTTCTAACTTCATTTATAAACATTTCAGCTACGCATTTCTTGCCAGAAAGGTCTGGAAATGACAGGTTTACATTTTTAGGACCCATTTCTCCTAAGCAACAAGGGAACAGAAAGCAGAGCAGGTATGAATTCCACTAGCAACAGAATCTGAAGTTCTAATTATAGTCTCCAAGGCAGACGCTACAGAAGTAGTCTGCCAAGACCTCTTTCATTAGTGAAATAACCTCGAATTCTTTCAGGAAGTATAATCTATCAGGACATATGGAAGAACAGAAGGCAATTTTAAATAGGTCTAATAGACAGTTGCCTAATTTATTTATTTTTTTTTAATTGAAAGACACAAACAAATCTTTTCAAAAGGTTGCTGTGTACGGATGAAGCTAGCCAGAGAAGAATGAAAGTCCTGAAGAGAAAAACAAAGTTACAAAGACTTCCAAAAGAGCATATATATATATGTATTTGCTTCGTGACATTAACTCAAACTGCCAGGATCGTGACATTTAAAAGCACCTGAGAACAAATTCTGCTGTATGGAAATTTTTGATGATTATCACCTTCCAGAACCAAAATTTCACTATCAGCACATATAGCATGGGCAGTGTGTAAAATGAACACAAACACAAGGTTCATGAATAAAGGTAACAGGAATGTATGCATTTTTTCCCCCCTGTTACCTGACGCTTTTATGAAGCTGCAATTTGAAGCAGATTCAAATTATGGGCATGAGCCTACAGAGTCTGTAGAAATTTAAACTGCTTAAATGCAACATTGTTTTTTCCATATTGCGTATGTTCTAAGGGCATTATTTGTTTTTTGAGCTACCTTGAAATCCTGATGACAATACTGAGACCACTTTATTTTCCCCTCACTGGGTGCTGAACTGGCCTGCTTACTAATGTTTGAAAAATTACTATCAAGAAACAACAGTAACTGAGAAATGGCTGCTGTTTTCTATTTCTTCATTAGGCAAATATATTTAAAATTGAAAATACTGTATGTAAGCTAAAAATAAATGGACTTGGTGATCAAAACTGTGCTTTATATGATAATCTGCTGCTGATCTAATGTAAATATTGATTTAAAAGAGGAGGCAATGTTTTCCTTGTATCTAGACACGTCACTACTGTATCAGTTAGGAGCAGCCAATCCTTCCCATATATGCCTGTACAGCATGTTTTCTTCAGCATAAGAGATATAAGCTGCATTCTTACTGACTTCTTAACAGCACTAGTAACATCCATTACAATTGTGAGATGAGCTCCTTGTACAGGCTAATTACAGGTAATGCTGACTTGTAACTGCAGGCAAAATGCAACTGAACACAGCCTCTTATAAGGTTCTTAAACACTCATACATGCAGTCTTCTGTGCAATGGGGCATTCTTTATCCATAAGGGCAATGTTTATCCCTAAACACTATTTCAGTGGGTGGCTTGAAACAGTAACATTTATTTTGTAAAGCTTCTGTAAATTGCTACAACTCAGAAAGAGAATTATGCTACACTAAACCACCCCGAGAAGATAATCAACCATCATCAAATGTAAGCTTGAAACTGATGAAGTACCACCTCAAAATAATAAAATGGTTGCAACTGTCTTCAAATAGCAATGAGCTCTCAGTAGCAACTGAATCAATGCTACTACTTTGCCTCAGCTATTGGTTCTACCCCTAACACAGAGAGACTTTCTTCTTTTTATTACAATTATTGAAAGAACTCTTACCTCTCCATCTCGTATTCTTTCATACCTGCTTTTACTGCCTTCATTACCTGTAAGATACATATTAACATGGGACATTCATAGCAGGAGGGAATATCATATTTATAAATTTATGAGTTATGACTGAGTTATCTCCAGAGGAACCTATATTACAAAAATATAATCTGTACTTAATTTAAATTTACATCAGTAGACACATTTTAAAACTACATTAGAAATCAAACTCATTTTAATTTTTCTAAATGCCTGCAGTCTCCAGTAATAAAGCAAGTTCAATTGCCAAACTACTATATCCTAATGAAGTGCAGCTCTTCAAAATGCCAATGCTTAACTCTTAAAGCCCTGGTGAACTTGGCAGCAAAGTTCTTTTGCTTTACTTTTATGGAATGTCAGCAAAACAAAACTGTGAACTCTAATAAGCTACAATGGGAGATACTCTTTTATACTTTGCAATCTGAATCATCAGAAAACTACTAGAGTTAACACTATTTCACAATCTGTAAGTCTGATTTTTGTTCTTGGATTTGCTGAGAATGTGCACCAGTTTTATTCCTTTGCCTCTTTCTGTATTATAAAAGTTCTAGGCAGCCGCTCTATGAAGAAATTCTCTCAGATGTGACAGGATTATTCCAGGATGATGAAGGACCAAGCAGAAAGAATGCAAATAACTATTCTTAGACTTCAAATTTTAACTTTATATTCCCTTTAAAATATTCTTACACTTAACAGTTCAGAAATCTGAGCAGCAGGAGCAAAGACAACAGTTGAGTTGGTAACCTCATTAGTTACTTTTACTTAAGCTCCCCCTGGTCAGTCAGAACTCTTGGCATCTCTGCCTCACAATATGAGTACAGGTTTGACACCCAAGTTAATTTTGTCGTCAATACCAGTAAAGCAGTACGACTCCACTGGCACAGTGCTGGGTCCAACCTGAGCAGCCTTGCTGAGAGCATGGATTTATCTTTGCCACTTTGCTATGTCAACACAACAGCATCATGAAGCACTGTACTGTTGGACATACCCATTTCTGAGGAACAACCTAAGGAGCACTATCCTACTGACTGAACTGTAAGGATCTGGAGAGAGTAAGCTGCAAAGTTAAACTTTTCAGAGCTGCACATGCTGTCATGGGCCACAAGAATAATCTTCTTGATTTCTTGGTTGGACAGATCTCTTGGTTGGACAGATCTCTTGGTTGGACAGAGCTTTGGGCGACATGGTCTAGTGTGAGCCATCCCTGCCTATGGCAATGGGGCTGTGACTTGATGATTTTAAGGTCCTTTCCAACCCTAACCATTCTATGATTCTTCTTTCTCCATCTCTATACTGACATTTGTCCATACAGGAGAGACACAGTGCAAGCAGGTCACCTTCTGCTGAGGCTCCAGCTCTTATCCAAAACCACACTTCATTTCTCACATACCACAAATGTACTAGTGAGTTCAAGGACAATGTAAGGTATATTACTGGGCTGTAATAGGAGGGATATTATCCTCTTATTTCTATCCAGCTTTTCCATTATTTTATTACTAAGTAATTCAGGGTTGCTGGGAACGTTTTCTGAGTACCACTGCTACACGAAGAGCAAAAATTATTATCAGTAAAAGATCCATTACCTCTTTATGAGCTTCACTGGAGATTTTATTGGTGTAGCGCAGAACTTCCAACTCCATGTCTGTCTTAATCACACGACTTAAAGAAAAGTAGAACAGATATCAAGTTAGGTTGCAACTCCACAGCTTAAGAATTATGAAATAAAACCCCCTGAAAATAAAATGCATCACCTACAGTAAAATTAGATCAAGTACACCTCAAGAGCAAAGAGCTATTACAGTATTCATGGCAGCAAAGTTTTGTTGTCATTGATTCAGCATTAGCAAAACAATCTTACAAAGGGAAGTCACAAGCATTTCAAACATCAGCAAGCATTATTTTAATGCTAATAAACAAGTGGTCCAACCAACATTTTTCAACTCATTCTACAATACATTAGGAAAAAAAGCAATGTATTTCTGCTTTTGTCATGGCTCAAACACCACTTCAAAAGGAACATTTCTACAAACATACTTGATTTATTTTTAAAACAAAATCTGAAACTAGTTTACATAATGAAATTCCCAGAGCTCCAGAATTTTATTCAACATACCCTCAACTCCCACCTAGTTGCAATACCTCAAAAAAAGGGGCGGGGG